CCATTTGGCATGACAGATAAGAAAGAGAAATACGTGACCCCATGAGTATAAAAGATGGGCCCAGCACACACTCACTTGGAGTGTCATTCTACCCTCTACCTGCTGGTCGGGTTAGGTGTTTGACCTCCCGAGGTTCTATGGGGACGCCCACCTCGTATTTTCGTCTTTCCTAGGAATTGAGGGACCGGCCCTGGCCTGACATGCTGGAGTCGAGAGGCACAGAAGGGGGTAAAAATTGTACCTGGATGTGGTCCTCTGTCTTAAGTGTACACATAGAAAGAGTAAGCTGTTACTTGGTACCATTATTTCTATTTTTCTATCTTTATCTTCTTTGTAACTATTTTTAAGATCCATATTTTGCTAGCAATATCTATATTTTGCTAGTAGTTAAGAAATAGAGCAATAGCCATTGTAACCATATGATTTATAAGCTTCTTTAATAAACCTGTAACTGTTTAAGCTTTAACCTGACTCCTTCAGTTGCTGTAACAGAACCAAGCACAATTTAAAAGAACTTCAGCCGGTCTTAAGGGACAGATATAGGGAGCCCTGACCGTCGGCTGACACCCCCCATACACAATCTGCTTCTGTGGCACATCCAATTGGATGGGCAATGCCTCCCAAGGTCTCAATCAACACCCATGTCCATATTCTGTTTTGCTAAGTAGCTTTCAACCTAATCTCCAAAAGCTCCTCTTTTCCAGGCAAGAAGCATCCAGAATCTGCAGTTAAATCATCAGACCATAGATTGTTGCATTAGAACATGGAGAATCTTAGAGGATGCTGTTCTTTTTTAAAATCAGATCCACAGATATATGGAAGAGCTTATACTAATCACAACACTCTGCAACTGGCGCAGTTAACAGAATACTATGCTAAGTTCTAGATCTTTTAGGCTATACCTACACTAAGAGTTTTCTTGGCAAAAAATATGCTAAAGATTTATTGCAAGAAGAGGGATTTTTGCACAAAAAGGTAACGTCCATACTGCTTGTTTTTGCACAAAAACCCCAGCACAAAAAATGGATTGGCAGAAAATATGCAATGAGATCATGACTTACGCAAATGATTCCCTCATTAGCATATTTTTATATAATCTCAATTGAAGTATCCATTGTCTAGATCAGCATCTCCCAAAACTTAATGATTTATCTAACACCTTAAAAAAAAAAAAAGAGTTATATAACACTGAATTTATGGAACATCAAGCTTCTGTATCAGAATTGGGAACTTCTTATTAATCTGTAACAGACTATGGAGAAGAAAACTTCACCAGATATATGAAAATATCTCCCAAAATTAAACAAAGTAAACCAGAACAGCATTCAAAGCAGAGTGTATCTAGGTGTAAATATGAAGCTGTACTGGAACTACAAGTATTTTCAGATTTAGTTACAGTTTACAATAAAGATACAAAGGGAATTCATGTTAGCCAAAGAGATTAAAAGGAATAAGAATGGATTCCACAAATCTTCTGGCAGTCTTAGGCAGGAGTGAGGCAACAGGAGAGAGAGAGAGAGAGAAGGCCCATTAATAATTATAAAGGTGTGGTATGGTGAACAAAGTAGTTGCATGCTACATAACTGCTTAAAGATTGGTCTAATTTTCTTAACAAAACAAAAACTTGACAATGAAAAACAAGGACACCCTCGCAATAGTAGTGATAGAAATGTAGCCGTGTCAGTCTGGTGTAGCTGAAACAAAACAGGACTATATAGCACTTTAAAGACTAACAAGGTGGTTTATTAGGTGATGAGCTTTTGTGGGCCATATCCACTTCCTCAGATCAAATAGTGGAAGATATGGTTGTGACAATATGGAAATGCATCTGGCCCACGAAAGCTCATCACCTAATAAGCCATCTTGTTAGTCTTTAAAGTGCTATATAGTCCTGTTTTTTGTCCTTGCAATAGTAGTTACTCATTAGTTCAAACCGAATGCAAGGAAATCTCTCCTTCGATAGCTCAGCTCTGGATTCAGATCATAATTTTAGGTTGAAGCCCCTCCCTTCCGACAGGAAACAGGTAAGAAAATACTTGAAAGGAGTATAAATGTAATGAGATGCAGTAAGGGAACTACCTAATGAATTTACTAAGCAGCTATCAATTATTTTGTGAAGTCATAGAAAATGACAACGCATCAAAGGATTTTTAAAGAACAAAAATAAGTAGGCATGGAAGGATTAATTTTTTGATTACTAAAGGTCAGCCAACATTGATTTCTCTGTACATGCACACAAACAGATAAAATAATATTTTCATATGTAATAAATGAAATTTAGAAATAGGTGAAGTAAGAAAAATGCTGCTTGATAATTTAGTTTGATTTAAAGTTAACTTCATCTACTGACATGTGATGTTGACAATTTGTGATGTTATGGATAAAGATTTCACTTTTTAAATTTCAACCTCTGTCGTTAAATTGTCTGAACTTTGCATAAGTTCTTGCAACTGAAAATTGGAACTGATAAAAATTAAGTTGTTTAAAAATAAACACTGATGTTGTTCATCAATTATAAAAAGTAAAAATAGCATTTTGCCAAACCTATAATGGAGTTAGGTAACTCTTTAAAAATTTAGTTATCAATTATATATTAACCAAAACTGCAATGACAAATCTCACTTTGCAAAATGATGTTTGCTGGGATCTGAGCACTCCTTTATTATAACTTTCAGAGACAGTGGGGAGGGGAGGAAAGGAACCTTAAGTGCAATGATTAGCACTAAATCCAGTTTGAACGAACACTTTCATTAGGAAGATAGAAGCAGGAACAATTGCACTGCTACCAACCTGGGAGGAATTGGGAGGCAAGTCAAGCTTCATATCTACTCTATAAGGATTGCGTAACGTGACAAAGTATTGTCATACAGTATTCTAATTTGATCATGGCACTTCATCGCTATAAATTTAAGAATGAAACAAAATGAAAATTAAATTCACTAGATGTTACAGAAGCCAGAAAACCAATGAACTATACATAAAGATAAAAGTTAAATCCTCTCATGCTTACCTACATTATTTTAGATCTGGTCCACAAAGCATACAATCTAGTTACCAAAATAAAATGCAACTTTACACAATGAAATGCAAACTTCATACAAATAAATAGTTCTGTTCAATTGATATTAAATATGAAGCCTCAAAGCAATAAGTCATCCATTCATATTTTATGGTTATGCAGTCTAATCCACCAAAATAAGATTTACCAAGCGTATTTAGTACTGGATCAGATACAATCCATATTTTCCATGTACATACTACATAGTAAGTGCTGCATAATGGTTTCAGAACAGAGTGGTTGGAAAGATCTATTAAGTTGCTAATCTCTTTATGGCAGCAATGCTGCCAAACAGACACATCCGGGACAAACAAATTTTCAACCATTTAATTAAAAGAATGCCATCAGACTGCTCTAAAGGTTATGAAGTAAAGAATGCTATACTCAACAAATAAGGCTTTACAGTTTTCTGTAATATTTGTTTAGGTAACTGCCCAATTAAACACAACATAAGTTTACAAAATCTTCATTAAAGAGGTATAGGTGGGATTGTGCTGTACCCACGAATAAAGGAGAAAAATTATTCTGGCAAGATTTTGTTTTGTTTTTCACCTTTGTTTTGTAGAAAAAATATTAGAATTTTATTGTGCATTTTCAGATACGGCTTACTGTGGCTAATTCATCTAACATTTCAAGACTGCAAACTTCAAGCTCTGAGTCTTAATTTGAAAACAGTATCTTCCTTCCAGCATAACAAAATACATGTCAAGTTACACAGGTCCACTTTGGACCTGTCTTCAGCATTACTAGAAGGGAAGGTTACTCACCTTGTGCAGTAACAGAATCCTTCGAGAGGTGTCCTCTTGGGTGCTCCACTTAAATGTATCAGCCTCACTGTGCACAGTCCAGAGATCTTTGGTAGCAGTCTCCAGCTGCCGGTGCGTGCTGCACTATCGCTCTGAGCGACAGGCATGCACCAGTGGCCATTCCCTCCATTCTCTCGATGCCGGAGTGTGTTAGCCTGGAGAAGAGGGGAGGAGGGTGGGTGTGGAACACCCATGGGGAAACCTCTTGAAAAATTCCAGTTACTGTACAAGGTGAGTAAACTTCCCTTTTTCCATCAAGGGTCCCTGTGAGTGCTCCATTTAGGTGACTCCGCAGCAGTATTCCTGCTTGGTGGTGAGCACTCCATGATGTGGATTGGTTGCTGGACAGTATGGTAGGTCCAAAGCTAGTGTTTGAGTCCTGAAAGGACTGAATAGTGCAATGTTGAGGAAAGACGTTGAAGAAAGCCGTTGCGGTACGTACTGTACTCATGGAACACTCCCGTATAACAGTTGGTGACTATTTTCTGGGTATAATCCAGTTGTATGCATGTAGACATCCATTTGTATATTATTGTTTGGAAAACAGGTCATCCTCTGGACCAGTCCATGCACTACACAAACAGTCTAGGAGTATGTTGGAGCACTCTTGTACTTTCAAGGTAGAAAGCTAATGCCCTGTGCAACTCTAGCATGCCTTGCACACCTCCAGTCCTGCCTGACTGCTGTTCTTGGGTGGTTTCAGGAAGATCAAAGATACATATATTGGTTTGTTACATTGGACTGAGGTAGGGATCTTAGGCAGGCATTTTGGGTGGGTTCTAAGGATGACTATGTCCTTGTGGAACAACATGTATGGCGGGTACACCCTGCGTGCTACTATCTCTCTTAGCTGATGTTACTCTGAGAAAAGCTTTTTCATTGAAAGGTGGAGTAACGAGTAAGTGGCAAGCACTTGAAAGGCCGTCCCCTTAGTATATCTAGTGCTAGAGCCAAAACCCATAGTGGTGCTGGATCTCTGTAGTGGATAGAGATTCCATATCCCTTTCTGGAATCTCTTCACACACAGGTGGGGAAAACCCAGAAAAACCCCAGAAAACCTGTATGGGTGGGCACATCACAGACATAGCTATCAAGTATACACTGAAGGAACTAATTGGCAGTCCTGTGTCCCTCAGGTGGAGAATATACTCTAGCATGTCAGATATCCCCGCCATGTGTATCTAGCACTTGAGCTGAATTCCAGGCTTCAAATCAGGCCTACTTCTGCAGGTAAGTCCGTCTTGTAGTGGGTCTCTGAGAATTGATCAGAATATCTGTGACCCTATGAAACCACGTTACCTCATTATTTGAAAGCCAACAAGCATCCACTCATAGATTAGTGTGTGGAGTCCACGATGTGGCATGCATCCTTTGTTCTGGGTCAGCAGTGCTCATAGCGGTGGGAGCTTGTATGGATGATGAGTGTTGAGTTGCAGTATGGGATGGTACCAGATGGGTCTCTGCCAACTGGGAGCTACCACTATGCCACTTGCTACATCCTGTTTAATGTTCAATATCGTCTGCTGTATAAGAGGTATAGATGGAAACACGTACGCCAATGGGAAGTCCCAGCAGACTGCAAATGCATCCCTGAGAGGACGTGGTCTAATGCCTGCTCTGGAACATTACAGGGGGCACTTGTAGTTGGCATGAGTTGCAACGTGTTCATTACCAAATACATTTTTCTTTTAAGAAATAGGGTTATTTGAGGGACTTGTTGATTTCCCGTTCGTGGTTCTGTGGGAATGGTCTACTGAGGGCATCCAGTAATAGCTTGTCCTTGCCCAGCAAATGCATTGTAGTAGGTGTGATGTGTGTGAAACACCATCTCCATCATTTCATTTCATCCGCACAGAGGCTGAGCAATCTCATGCCTCCCTGTTTATGTAATATGTTGTTGCGGTATTGCCTGACATCAATATCACTGTTTTGTTCAACATGTGCTCAAGCAGTTGGGAGCATGCTCGTCTGACTTCCCTGAGCTCCAACACATTGGTATGGAGCCACAAACTCTGTTGTGTCCACTGTCCCTGTGGTATCATGCTCCCCACGTGGGCTCTCCATACCCGCAAGGATGTGTCTGTTGTGATAATGACATGTGGCAATGATGCCTGAAATTGAGACACTATGCATGCATTGTGCAGGATGGCCTTGACCCAAATGTGTACATGGAGTGTCCTGTGGATCGGACAGGGTCTTGGTCAATACACCAGATTTAGCCATGCCTATAATGGCCCTATATGTTGTTGAGCATGTTGGACTACAAATGTGGCTGTGTGTCCAAGTATTTGCAGGCATGTACGCACCGAGGAGCACATACCACTTGCTATCGACACAATCTATGGATTGGCAATGATGCTATACAATGGTTGCAGTCCAGCTGCGCTGCTGTAGGAGTGAGGGAATATTTGTCCAAGTGCAAGAAGAGCCCAAGCATGTCGAGTAACTGCCTTGTTGAGTGTTATGCCCGCTGCGTGCCCCATACATGGGTGCCATGACCAAACAGTTGTCGAGATATGGCCACATGTTTATGGGCTCTCTCCATAGGTGTGTGGCTATCCCAACAAGGAACTTGGAGCGTACTCTGCATGCTGTCGACAGGCCGAAGGGGAGCACCACTGCATTTGACATGGACCTGGCTGCTGTATCCACAGCATCCAGCACTGCTTGTAATGCTGTGCAAGAGATCCGAAACCTTCCGTCATATTTGATTCAAATTGTTCCTTTATATCTTCTTGTCGATACTGAATAAAGGAATTGAAAGATGTCTGTCGTAAATATTTTGCCACTAAAGGTACATAATTAGCAATTCTGGTTGAAGGGAAACGGAGGGGTATGCCTTGGTTCCTATAACATCCATCCCCTTTATCTCCCAGTCATGATTCTGCATTCTGGCTTAGTGCTATTGCTTTCCCCCTTGAAGTGGCAGCCTCTACCACCAAATTCGGAGAAGAGTCTGAGAAAATAAATACCCTATGGGGGTAGAATTCCTAATCTATTTGCTTGGAAGTCACCAGTACTGATGCACGGGTCTTCCATATGGCCTTAGCTAAGTGCACTCTTCACAAAGTGAAGGGGCTCAGGAGCCCAGAGTACTGAACCAAACCCCATACAAGAGCTGTCCTAATAAGCCTGCCAGCCTGCTCCAGATGGGGCTGAGGTAAAAGATGGCATTTTATGCTCAAGACTGGTTACTAAGTACACAATAGGAAAGTTCTTCCTTGCAGAATTACAAATTTTCACTCCCAGATTTAAAACAATGTCACAGTTGCTTGTACTGTTTTAACTAAAAAGTGCAGCTTACAAGAACTGGATGGAATTTTCAGGGGGAGCCAGGATATAGAATTACTTTTATCCACTTATTCAAAAAAGCATTCAGGCAAAGTAATAGATGCAGGAAGGTCTAACTGAGTAACTAAAATATCAGACTAACAACAACATCCTTACAAATGGTAATATTTTCAGTGGACAATGACAAGCAAAGGCAACCTTTAGGAATATAGCCTACAGTAAAGCTTCATCAAACAGCAATATTTGTATATTTCACAGTCTAGAGGAACTGAAAAAAGTATCAGAACTAGACCACGTTTACTGAATATTAAACAGATGAATAATGAGAAGCAGAAGAACTTCTGAGCTTCAGCGGCATCAGTAGGTGGGGGGAGACTTTCATATTTCATTGAGACTTACACTACTACAATGCAATACTTGTTCTAGTATTTCCTCTCTTTAGATTAGGGGTATCATCAATCCCATTCACGGAGTTGTCAAAAATCATTTCCTTTTCTTCTCCACTTGCATTTTTCAGGTCCTCCAAAAGAGGATGAAGATCAATCTTAAAACAAAAAATATTTTCCCTTGTACTAGACAGAATATAGTTTAAAATATCTGATGCACCCAATCTCACAATCTGTAAGTACTAGGAAGTGACCAGGGACAGGGTTTAAAAGGATCTTTCCTTAGAGCTAGGCAACACAGAGAACCATAGGAGATTTTTCCCTCCTGGAGCAAGCACTAGGAGATGAGGAAGAGCACTAGGTAAGACTCTCATGATTATTTTCATTCAGGAATAAAAACTGAGCAAAGTCAATATTTGTTCAGTAGAAGATCAAACATAATAGCTCTTACGGTTTCTGTGTAAGGAAATACACAGATCCTTGCAAACTCCTTTTTTGCTTTACTCAAACAATTCAAAGAAGGGAGTCTTACGCTTTTTACATTTACTGCATTCATTTGGCCTCCTGCACTGGTGCCCTGATTAACAGTAATCTGTTGTACAGTTAAGTGGACAGGAAAATGGAGGTGGGAGGAGAGATATTCAATCAGCAATGACTGACTGTAATAGCATTATGCACATGATGTATTTTGGATCCGATCCACTTTTTTTTTAAAATGCAATGCATTACCACATGATGCGTTCTAGCCGTAAGAAACATGTATGTGAATAATGGCAAAACTCAAACATCGTTGGGTGTAGATGGGAAGTAACTTGATAGGAAGAAACTGCCAAACCACTTTGCTACTCATATGGGGGGGGGGGGGGGGGAGGAGAAAGACAGAAAAAGCTTCAACAGAGCAGAAGTCAATATTAAACAGCAATTCATGAAAGACCGACTACATTCCATGCATTACTTCTTAGCTTCCATTTATTAAAAAAGTCTAGTTCTCAAGAGAAACTACACACAACTCAAGTGTAATCTAAAGGCTAAGAAATCAGAAGGCCAAAAATCAACTAGCCAATAAATAAAGCCTCACAATTTAAATTAATCTTTTGATTTTGGGGGAATCTTACTCAATATATCTGAACAACTGGGGGTTGTCAAATGAGATCAAAAGTCATATCATATCCTACTATTACTCAAAAAGTCTCATGGAGGTTAAAGATATATTCAAATACTGGACAGAAATCTGGAAGGATACTAACATACTGAATGAGGTTGCCCACCACCCAAACACATTTCCAGCAGTAATTTATATCCTGTAGACCATCTCAAAAAATATGTAAACATCTCTTCATATTCCTCCATCTTATATCACTTGTCTTTCATATTATCCACAACTTTAGCTCTCTTGTCTTCAAAAAGTCTGTTTCTACAGATGGTTGCTAACAGGAAAAAAAAAAGATATATACTGCAATTACCACATTTTGTATACCATCACATGCCTCCTACGCCATTTTCAGGCTACCTGTTCTTTTTATCACCTAGTACTTACCTTAATTTTTAATATAAGCCTAGCAAGTATTCTGCTGAAAAGCTGGACAAACACAAGCAAATTCCATTAATTCATACCATGTACTCCTCAATGCCCTGAAGTTATCTCTACAGTTGTAAGCATAAGGCATAAAATCCAATACCTAGCTTCCAATAGTGTATAGCTATAGGAATCTAACACTGCAACTTATAACACCATAAACACCACTCACAGAAGAATGCAATTCTGATGACCAAAACTTTATAGTAGTAAAGTATTCTATTTCCAAAATTTGCAGGTATGTCAAATGTATAATAAAGAAAGCTTTAGACCTTTCAAGATCAGTCATGCCCAATAACAAAAGAAATGTGGTAGAAACATTACAGTGAAAAAAGGAAAGTTACACATGGTTGTCTGAACACAAAGCACAATGTGAACAATGAATGAATCCAAGGCCAGGTCCACACTGTGGGGGAGGTCAACTTAAAGTATGCAACTCCAATTAAACAAACAACATTGCTGAAGTCAATGTACAATAACTCTAGGTTGGTGCCATCTCCATATCAGATATCAACAACAGAAATGCTCCCATTAACGTCTCTTACTCCTTGTGACAATGAGTACCGGCACTGATGGAGGCGTCCTTAGCATTTGATTCACCAGGTCTGTACTAGACTTGCTAAATCAAACCCCATAATATTGATGGCAGAGCATTGTTTCTCCAGTACAAGGAGACATGGCCTAAGTCAATGACTACACTTCGATCTGAGGGTATGTCTACAGTACCACCCTAGTTCGAACTAGGGTGGTACTGTAGACATACCCTCAGATCGAAGTGTAGTCATTGACTTAGGCCATGTCTCCTATTTTTAAATGTCCGCTAGTGCGGACTCTGTGCCGCGCGGCTACACACGGCAGGGACTAGGTAGTTCGGACTAGGCTTCCTAGTCCGAACTACCGTTACTCCTCGTTTCACAGTGTTTACGGTGTAACTTTCCTTTTTTCACTGTAATGTTTCTACCACATTTCTTTTGTTGTTGGGCATGACTGATCTTGAAAAGTCTAAAGCTTTCTTTATTGTACATTTGACATACCTGTACATTTTGGAAATAGAATACTTTACTACTATAAAGTTTGTCATCAGAATTGCATTCTTCTGTGACTGGTGTTTACGTTTCATGAGGAGTAACGGTAGTTCGGACTAGGAAGCCTAGTCCGAACTACCTAGTCCGTGCCGCATGTAGCCGCGCGGCACAGAGTCCGCACTAGCGGACATTTAAAAATAGCGCCTCCCAGCCTTATGCAAATGAAGCCCGGGAAATTCAAATCCCGGGCTTCATTTGCAACTCCGTATGACTACATTAACCACCCTAGTTCGAACTAGGGTGGTAGTGTAGACATACCCTGAGAAAGTAGTTCCTTGTTTGAACAGGCATACTGAAGCTAGTGTGCTATAAACAGCACTATAGCTTCAGTAACTAGCTCAGGCTAGGTGTCCTATGTATCTATGAGGGCTGAGATGTGCTTGATTTGTTCCAGAGCTAGCCAAGGTTGAGCTGCAGCACCTCTAGGCCTGGACGTTCCTAGCCCCAGTATCTTTGGGCTTGCAGTGTCAGTTAAAGGAAAAAGAGCTCGAGCCTTGGTGCCTCTTTCACTGTAGAATTAAGCACTGGATCTGTGCAAATCTGTATTAAGGGCAGTGAACCAACGCCACTGTTCCTGATACTGGCAATGCAATACTACATTTAGTTCATTAGCACAAGTATTTCTACTCGAGCTGGGAATCACACTCTTTGCTCCATGTGTAGATGTAGTCTGTTTACTAATCAATGCAAAAAGAAATTCTATAGCAAGATATTCTATAGCAAGAAGTGATTCTTATGTGAAAAGTTAAGTGTCTTTCTTATGGGCAAAGATACTGCTTTTCAAATTGAGAGATCTGAATCTGTTCATCATTAATACTACTTCACAATGAGTAGTAGTACTACAATACTGCCTAGAGCCTTATTTTGTGGGTACTATGTGACCACATTAAGAGAAAATCCCAGACCTGAAAAGTTTATACTCAGACAAGATAGACAATGTGTGTACAAAAGGGATATAACATGAAGCTAGATGATTAGGAATGAACTAGAGACTCAGAGATGGACTTGTCACCTAGGAAATCTATGGATTATCTGAAAACAAAAATTGAACTCTGAAGTACCAGTCCAGTGCTTTAACTACAAGATCATTGTTGGTGCAGGCTGGAAAATGCCAAGGCTGAATGTTTTTCTAAATGTGCCCATTTCAAGCAAAGATTTTTGAAAGAAAGGTTGTAAGGACTTGGGGAAGCATTTTGATAAAGCTTAAAATTGAATGTTTAGACTTTGAGACCATAATATTTCAATTATCTCTGCTGAATGTCATTATTTTAAATGCACACCATACCATGCAAATCAGAACAAACATTTAAATTGACAAGAAATTATTTTTAAATACTTCCCCCCTCCCCACGTTTTAAAAGAGAAGGAACACTCAGACTAGCACTATTCCTCTTGAAATGAAAAATCCAGTTTCTACTCATCTCTAAT